CCCCCCCCCCCCCCCCCCCGCACTCAGCCATTGGTGATTGGATCCGTGGCGAGGTGTTGTGGAGTCGGCCGGACCCGTGGTGTTAGCCCACGAGGTCTCTGCAAGTGTCGGCAGGCATTACCAAGACACGTTCCGCATTTGCAATTTGTTAGCACCTGCACTTTCAGGCAGTTTCTCCGTGCACACACAAACTCAGGCATTGCACAAGCATTGTCCCAACACGACCTGCCGCACCTTGGCAGAGGTCAAGGCAAGAGGTTGGGTTGGCTGCCCTCGCGGTGCCTGCTCAGGACGGGACCACTGTCCCTCCAAGGGCCTTCGTGAACGGAACGTCACTGGATGTTGCCAGTGCCACCAGCTTGCAGAAGTCCTCTGACTGCTTTTCTGGGTGTGAGCGCAGTCCAATATCCAGGAATGGGGTCCAAGCAGTCTCTGCGTCGTGCAACATTCTCCTCTGGGGACACCAAGAGCTGCCGTGGCCAACAGTTCTTGGCAAGAAGCCATGCCAAGAGACTGATCTTTATATGCCATTGTGTACTTGCTGTCATCCACAAGTCAGCGTTCAGAAGCTCCTGACACTGAGGATACATCTCTTGTGATGAGTCGGAACAGCTCATCGCACGTCGGACCTTGCCATCGAAAGCAAGTGGAGCTTGGTGCAGCATGCAGACATACAGATGTAGACCTAGTAAACCGGTCCATTAATGTTGTTCGCAGAGTAGCGACCTGTGTGACCTCTCGAGATGTATTTCTTCTTAGAATGTTTTGGCGGTAGGCCCTTGCGTTGCTCCCACCTAGGAATCGTTTGCAGAGCGGAGGAAGGAACTCGAAGGTCCTGTGAACATGACCAGAACTTCGTGGCGTTGCATGGGTTCGGTCTTGTCGAGGCTTACAGCTGTGGTCCTCAACGACCAGGACTTGCTGAGAGTTCCATGCTGCTCGTCTGAACGAAGCATGTCAAAAAACGAAGCACGAACCCAAGCCAAAGCTCGTGCCGGCTTGTGCCATGCAGGCCATGCACAGCCGTCAGTCCGCTTGGGAGATTTGGTTCGGCAGCACGATCGGCTAAGCTCGAAGGACGTCTCTCCTGCAGCGGGCCAGGTCCCTTGGCGGCAGTTGAAGGGTTTTTTACGTCTTGCCGGGTTGCCTGTCGGCTGGATTCGCCCAGCCCGCTCCTTGAATTTTCGCACCAGCTGCCTCATGACTGGGGGCCGGTGGTGCATAATTGGAGTTCGGAACCAAAAAACGACGGAAGTCGACCTTGAAGCATAGTTTTCACAACGACAGAAGGAGGGGATACCTAGCCCTCTGGAACCTTTCCCTGTCAATGACCAACAGAGGGTCCAAACGAGCTTCGGCCCTGCCTTTCAAGGTCGTTTCTGTGCAAACCGCGTCCGTCGCTTGGCGGGAACCGGGAAGACCTTGGGAGGAACAAGCGATTGTTGCAAAGCGTCGGGTTCCGGAAGTGCGACTGCTGTCCAGGATGGAGATGCCGTTGCCCTCGTCTTCTTGCGCAGGGCCAGCTCTTACCTCGTCACCAACAAGGGCTCCGTCCTTGTATCGCTGCTGAAGCAAAGGTTGTCCTGATTGCCCCTGGACGGTGATAATGTTAGCATGGCTCAGGTACGCGATGGAAATGTTGTCCAAATGGGAGACTGCTTGGCAACAGAGCCCCTGGCTGTGCCTCGGACCTCAGACATTGTTCAAGGCCTTCCTCGTATCGACAGGCTCTTCGAGGCTGGGCCGCATAGTCCGGATGACGCAGCAGACGCAGAGTGACGGATTACTTGTCAGGCTGCAAATGGGCAACTGCAAGCGCGGTTGGACAGGATCTTCGAAGAGGTGGCGATGAAGGGGATCCCCCCGTTGCTTGGGTGCCACGTGACTTTCTGATGCACTGCCTTCCCATGCTGCTATGCATTGCGGCGGACAGGAGGCAGCCCAACGCAGCAGCTTAGATGCCGCATATGCAGCTCGCCGAAGGCCGTCCGAGGCGTCGGCTCGTACCGAAGCACACAAGCCAGACATCGACAGGTTCGAGCAGGAGCTCTTGGCCGAAATCCAGTCCGCTTATGGAGAACAGGGTGCAGCTGGGATTGCAGTTTCGTAGGTTGCAAGCACTTTCTTCTCTTCATATCCGCCGATCGTGTGAGTTCATCACAGCACTAAGTTCAGGTACACATCAGCAGCAAACACATTGAGGCCAGGCCAAGTTCGCTCTCGCTGTCGCTGTGGGTGCTGATGATCAACCCGTCAACAAAGCTGCCTGAGACTTCCATGACAATCATATAAATCCATAAATGGTACCTCATGGTGTAACCTGTCGGTTGGCAAGCTAAGAAAACATGTAGGCAGCTTTGCAGTGATTCGTTTCTCCGCAGTATTTTCGTGAACAAATCCTTCCAAACAATCCTGCACCGTCTTCGCCACACTGCCAATCATGGCCGATGGTCGTGACTTTATAGAAAAGGCCCGAGGAGCAATCAAGACAACCCAACAAACAATCAACGATGTATCGTCCACTCAAGTCACACCCAAGTTCATACGGGCCCTATCCACAACGCACCGATTCTGTCCGATCACCACTCTTACCCCATGTGCACCACAGACATCCCGCCATGTTCAACGTGATCTTTTGTCCCCACGCAACAGATTGACACCATGCTCACCTCACCCGCCCGGACAGAACGCTCAACTCCCTTTGAGACCGTCGTGAAAAGGTCAGATTACGGTCGATCTTGTCGACATACTTTTCAGGCCACGCGTTGCCACAGCTTTCAACAAATCGTACGCGGCGCCACCGAACAAGCTCAGCTGGTACAAGCTTCGCTGCGGCTTCATCTTAACACCACCGCCGGAAGGTCAACATCCGCAACCATTCATCGCCTCCAGCTACACCACGCCTGAGCCGGACCACCTTCACAGCAAGCCACACCCAAGCCACAACCAGGCCGCAACAACCACCAGCGCAAGGGGGAGCACGCGAGTCAGCGACCACCCAGATCGGCAACAAAAGCCATGCCGACCCCAGAGTGTAGACCGATTCAGGAACCAAGCCCGCATTTCAGGAACTTCAGGAACTTGTCCAGCAAACGAGGACCTGAATGGACAAATTCAGGTACCGGAAATCAGGAACAGGCCCACCAATTCCGGACTTAGGGTTGAGGGGTGTGCGGTTCACGATTCGGGGTTCTTCAAGCTTTAGGGTTTGAGGATTTAGAGCTTTCTGGGGTTTAGGGCTCGAGGTTCCTTGAGGTTCTTGGTTTCCGGTTAGAGTTTAGTTTTTCGAGTTAATAGGTTTGAAGATTGAATGTGTTTTTGGGGTTTAGGGCTTTAAAGTTCGAAATTTTTTGGGATCCTTGTTTTCCGGTTTAGGTTTAGGGTTTCAAGTTTATAGGATTATAGGGTTTGAAGATTTAATGTGCTTTTGGGGCTTAGGGCTTTAAGGCTCGAAATTCTTTGGGGTTCCTGGTTTCCGGTTTAGGGTTTATTTTTTCAAGCTTAGAGGGGCTTGAAGATTTGATGCGTTTTGGCGCTTAGGGCTCCTTCCCTTGTTGGTTTTGCAGAAGTGCGCAGTCGCATGTACAAACCTTGTGTGTGGTGATTCTTGGCTTGAAGCTGGCTACGAAGAAGACCCTTGAACTAAGCCTTGTTGAAGCTCGTGATGGAAACAGCGGGCAGATGACGTTCCGTGTGGTTCAGTAGAGCAGAGGTCCAATGGAAACCAGCAGGTGTATGGGCAGCTGTGTACTTCAGAACTGAAGACGTGCATTCGCTTTGGTCCCCAGCGGCTACATGAAGTGAGCGAGGTGGCGGGCGATAGAACCGTGATCATCGCCTACACACCAGATTGCTTGGGAAAACTGTAGCAAAAGATCTAGAATCTTTACATGATCATGGTTTTCCTGTTCGTTCCTATATCAAAGTTCCATGGTGATTTTCGTGGAAGCGGACACTTACCTCATGTCATGGCAGCTAAGGTGGAAGCAGGTCTGCAAGAGCGGGAACAGGGCTCGGAATGGTTCATGTATTTGGATTTAGACCCTTGTCTGATGAAGATCGCAGACGCTTCCATCCCCAGCGCTCAGCCTCGAGTTTGTGAATCAGAAGCGGATTTACCCACACCATTGAGCAAATTCTCGCTAACCTAGGGCCCTTAGATTCTTATGAATCCAGAGAAGGCTTTTGCGAGCCTGGAGCAGTTGCGTCCGGCCATTTCGATCGCACGGCTACAACCAAGAGGCGAAGCTCGGAAGCGATGGCAGGGACTCCGTGCGACTGATGCCAATGGTGACGTCATCATGGATGGTAGCCACGGAGTTGATCAATGGAAGGGTCTTGTCCAAGCACTCCTGCGAGGACATTGGCAGCACATACCAGAAGAACTCCGCGAGGGCCTTGACAGTCTCCTCAAGCTCTCGCCCAGAGAGCCTACCAAGTCCGAGCGGGTTCTGGGTAGCACTAAGCGTTTCAAGGAGGCGAACGGACGCCTGCGTGAACTGGGCCAAAAGCCTCTCCAACTCAAGTCGAAGCTGGAAGGGACCCGAACTTTGCTTGCTGAGGGCCACAAAAGGCCGCAAGTGCTGCCGAAGACCTGGAGGCTTAGTGCGTCGCTGCCGCACTCGGGCTGGACCCCAAGCCCCTCTCGCCCGCAGGCGATGTCGTAGAGCACGCTTAAACCGAAGAGTGCGGGCCAGCCCCGAAGAAGAGCACCCCAGCCGCAGTCTTGGCTCGCGTCTGCTTGTTCGGGCCGTCGAACGGCCGCTCCGACTCCATAGAAACAGTGTGACACACGTATCAAGAAGATGAGGTATTCGGAGCTGACCAGGATCCCACAATCTTGTCGCCCCCAAGCTCGTCCAGAGAAGCCCCACAAGCATGGGGGTAAGAAAAATAAAGCACTGCAGCTCAGTACCACCACAGGAGGAAGGTCCAACTGCATCTAGAGGAGGCGCCACGCAGCAGCGGTCCAGTGCCATAGCACCCTTCGTCGGTTCCAGGCAATTGCTGATACTACCGCTGCGGCCACCGCCATTGCCACAAGATGTTGCAACCTCACGACTATCACCCCATCTTCTTCCTCGGTGCGGGCAACTCCCAGACAGAGCTGCGCGAGCAAGCGGCTGTGCTCTATGCAGCAGTGGCAGGGGTCTCTTCTCAGGCAGCTCATCTGGTGCTGGATATGGACCACAAGCCAGTGGAGAGAATCTATGCCAACTTGGAGGTTGCGCGCGCCCGGTATGTCACCGTGAAGGAGAAGGACATCACTTACGGTGGCAATTGGGAGGATGCGGAAGTCGACGAGGTTGACATTGGCAAACGCACAGACGACAGCATCCAGGGGGCTCACAATACAAAGTGGGAACAATGGGGCGGCATTGTTCAACGAAGCTCTCCTTCGTCTCTTCGCCTTTTCAAGCTGGAGCCGAAGCTCACCAAAAAGCGAGCCCCGGGCCCAGGGCCGATCAGGAAACGAGACTGGAAGGGCATCGGGATGAAGCTCCTCGCCAACTCTAAGGTTATCTTGCACAACGACGGCGCCAAGGCCTACAAACTCAAGATCCCGGAGGTGATCCATTGCAACGTCGTCCACCAGAAAAAGAAGGTCAAGATCAACGGCAAGGCCTCCCATGAAGCCACAACAGGTCATTCTTAACATGCGTTTTGCTCCAGTTCATGTCAAATCATATGTCTTCTGCACAGGTGCACTGGATCAAGCCCACTACACGAAAGTGTACAAGGTGAAGCTGCCGAACCGCAACTTTCTGAGTGTGAAAAGCGGCGCACAAATAATCGACCGGCTTTGGGGACATTTGCGCAGCTTTTTGAAGCACACAGATCGCACTCCAGGCAACCAGGCCCTCACAAGGAAGATTCGCTCAGCCCAGTTCACCTACTGGTTTCGCAATGGCAACATGTGGAAAGCCACAGGTACCATGCTTGACTTCCTTTGGAAATCTAGCTAGGGGAGCTGTGCAAATGCCATCGCAGGCACCATTTTGATTTCGATGCTCCATCGGTCAGCTGTGAATCGGCACCGAGCGACTCCTCGCGCACAAAACATCGGCCCGAGGCAATCATGCATCAGTCCTGCTCCACATGATTTGCCGAGACGTCGGACTCATGTTCGTACTGCAAATAATTAGACCGTCCACATCCAACAATCTTTGCCGCAGCATTCACGGTTCCAGCAAGAAACTTAAAGTAGAATTGTCCCTGACTTCCTGAGGCCAAATTTTAGGGACAGCACAGCACTTTAGGGCACCTGAGCTTCAAAAGTGCTGTGCTGTCCCTAAATTTGGCCTCGGGACAGCGCAGCACTTTAGAGCACCTGAGCTTGAAAAGAGCGCCTGAGCTTGAAAAGTGCTGCGCTGTCCTTAAATTTTGGTTCTGGAGTTTCAAAAATGCTCTACTGTCCCTAGAAAACCTAAAAAACCCTATCCTCCAGAGACTATCGGCTCGGAAGGCCTGAAGGTTGCTGGGGGATAGGTTTTTAGGTTTTTTAGGGACAGTACAGCACTTTTGGCTTGGGAAGGCCAAATTTTAGGGACAGTACAGCACTTTAGAGCACCTGAGCTTCAAAAGTGTTGTACTGTCCCTAAATTTGGCCGCTGCCAAACCCAAATTTTAGGAACAGCACAGCACTTTAGAGCACCTGAGCTTCAAAAGTGCCGGGGGGTAGGTTTTGTTAGGCTGTTTAGGGACAGTACAGCACTTTGGCTTGGGAAGGCAAAATTTTTCGGACAGTACAGCACTTTAGAGCACCTGAGCTTCAAAAGTGTTGTACTGTCCCTAAATTTGGCCGCTGCCAAACCCAAATTTTAGGAACAGCACAGCACTTTAGAGCACCTGAGCTTCAAAAGTGCCGGGGGGTAGGTTTTGTTAGGTTGTTTAGGGACAGTACAGAACTTTGGCTTGGGAAGGCCAAATTTTAGGGACAGTACAGCACTTTAGAGCACCTGAGCTTCAAAAGTGTTGTACTGTCCCTAAATTTGGCCGCTGCCAAACCCAAATTTCAGGGACAGTACAGCACTTTAGAGCACCTGAGCTTCACAAGTGCTGTACTGTCCCTAAATTTGGCCTCTGCGCAGCCCAAATTTTAGGGACAGTGCAGTACCTTAGAGCAACTGAGCTTCAAAAGTGCTGTGCTGTCCCTAAATTTTCGGTTCTGCCAAACCCAAATGAAAAGGACTGTACAGCACCTTTTTTAAGCACTAATGCTTAGAAGGTGTTGTACTGTTACTGAATCTTGCCGTTGTCAAATCAAAGTTATCGAAACAGCGCACTACTGTATGACTCTAGGCTTTCAACTGTGTTGTGCTGCATAGTGTTATATCAAACAGTCTTTTCCGGAAATACAAATTATGTCATGCCTTTGGTTCCTTCACGGTGTTGTGGTGTTGGCACTCTGCCTCCCACTAAGCCATTGTTTTCGGAACCAGATCCCGGTGTGCAAAAGATTCGATGTCAAAAGTATGCAAACATGCTATGGGCAAAGAAGCTGTCCTACAGAGAAGCCGTTTTGACTGGTATTTACAGCACTTTTTGCACATGGAGCATGTA